AACTGGTAATATACTGATCTGTAACACTTTAAAGTTCTTTTGCAGCCATAATCTTTGCTTCAGCAGACATTCTTTTAAATCTAGCTCTAACTACCAGAGCTTGATGCTTCTGTGAAACAAGGAAATTACCTCTGCTTTAAATATCACTACTTTGCCTATATCCCTTGATTTAACAGCCCTGTCTAGTCTACATTTGGCTGCTGTCTGCACCACTAATCTATCTACATTGAGTCAGTGGCTATAATCAGTAGCAAATGACTATTTCTACTATTCAGTTTATAACACTACTCTTTATTGCCAGCCACAGCCTTGTCAATTCCTTTTTCAGGGTTATTATTAGCTGGTTTTGAAAATCTACCTCATCCAACAAGATTGTGTTAAATTTCCAGTTATCATAGGTTTAGCCTTTTCTAAGTAAATATATATAATATAAACTTAGACAATATAGAAGTTAACTTTTTTGACTAAAACTCTGTTAACACTGAATAGTACTCAAAGAGCCCCCATCAATCCAAGTTCATTTTACTCTCTTCTGATGTTGACTTCAAAATTGACCAAATCAAGTATGGTAATAAATTCTCAAATATCATTCCATCCAACAGAATATTAAAACTCTTCCTATCTCATTTGTCGTCTAAATCTCTATCAAGGACAGCATTCCAATCACCTACTAATGCTACCCACCACTACAACTTTGTAAATGAATCAGTCTGCTGAAATAAATAGTCTATCTATTCTCTATTTTCATTCAATGAAACAAAACGTTTTCTACTTGCTGGATTTGCAAGAATGAGCTAACGCATTGTACTCAAAGTGCAGTTTCCCAACCAAAAATACTATCAAAATATGCTGAGAAGAGGTGAAACCATAAAAAAAAAAAAAGTTTCATTCACTTGCAATAAGATGGAGCTCTTGCTAGCAACATGTCAACACTAAGGCATTAATGGTCACAAATTGAGCTTAGCCCTTCTCAGATCTAACCATTTGAAATAATTAACCAAAGATCCATTATTAGTTTACTGGTATTGTGCAGGTGAGAAATGGTGGGGTGAGGATACCAATAGTCAATTCCATGAAGCCTCTCAGTTTAGAATGTATCATCTTGGCCCTATATGTGTGCATAGGGACCCACCCAGAAAAAAATTGTTTTAATGATTTGAATTTTACATTGTTTCAGTTTGCCAGCAGAGGTGACATTTTTAAGCCTCCTTCATCATACCCCAAATTTTACTTGCATTCTAATCAATCTAGTTATGAAAGATAGTTAATTTAAATCTTTTAACCTCTGCAGCTAGAGGTTTTTCTAGTCCAATATATCTAAGGCAACACCACAAATGTCTTAGTTTGATTTATACTTTTTATGCTCTTTCTTTCTGCCTGGATTTTCCTCCCACCTGCCACTTTTATCAATAAATATCTAGGGTGGCCACCAGTTTTGCTGATGGAAAAATCCTGGAAGAAAAAGGAATAAAAATGTGTATCTATGCTGGACTGGAGATTCTGGCCAGAAATTATAGGTGAAAAAATTATGCCTTCTTTATCACAGCTTCGGTGGTTAGTAAGTGATCTTGCTACTCAACAATCAGTTTCACAGGGTCCTTGATGTTTAAAGCAGAGATGATCAAGCTTTGGTAGTTAGAGCTAGATTTAAAAGAATGTCTACAGAACCAATGATTATTCCTCGCAATACCAATCTTCTTCCAGAATTGATGACCAGCAACCACTGGTCATGATCATCCAAACAGTTTGTAATGGGGCTTTCCAATTGATCATGAGGTTGAACTTTCATTCCTTGTGCAAACATTTCAGATTCACAATCCTGATTCCCTTGAATTTAAAGAAATATAAAGATATAAACACACAGGTATATGGCCAGGTTCAATATTCCAACTGGAATTTTCTTTTGGCTATACAATCTTTAACAGCGGGCACCATTATGTCCCTCGTGGGAAATGTTGCATCTTTTACAATCATAACACACACCCAACAGTCATTTTATCGCATGGTCATAGAAACATTTTTTCCAATGAATCTCAATTGACTGATCAAACAGCAGCCAACCTTTCACAAAGTATAACAGTAACACTGTTTGTTTGAGATTTTCTTTTAAGTGAACACACGCACACACTATTGATCTTTCCCTCTCTCTCTTTTCCATTTTTTTTTTCCTCCTTTTTTTTCTCTCTCTCTCTTTCCATTTTTTTCTCTCTCTCTCTCCATTTTTCTCTCTCTCTCTCTCATTTTTTCTCTCTCTTTTCTCCATTTTTCTCTCTCTTCCTCCATTTTTTCTCTCTCTCTCGCCTCCATTTTTTTCTCTCTCTCTCGCCTCCATTTTTTTCTCTCTCTCTCTTTCCATTTTTCTCTCTCTCGCCTCCATTTTTTTTCTCTCTCTCTTTCTTTTTTTTTTTCTCTCTCTCTCTCTTCCACTTTTTTTTTTCTCTCTCTCTCTTTCCTCTTTTTTTTCTCTCTCTCTCTCTCTTTTTTTTTCTCTTTTTTCTCTCTTTTCTCTCTTTCTCTCTATTTTTTCTCTCTCTCTCTCGCCTCCATTTTTTCTCTCTCTCTCTGCCTTTTTTTTTTCTCTCTCTCTCTTTCTCTTTTTTTTTCTCTCTCTCTCTTCCATCTTTTCTCTCTCTCTCTCTCATTTTTTCTCTCTCTCTCCTCTCTTTCCATTTTTTTCTCTCTCTCTCTCCTCCATTTTTTTCTCTCTCTCTCCCTCCATTTTTCTCTCTCTCTCTCGCCTCTTTTTTTTCTCTCTCTCTCTCACCTCCATTTTTCTCTCTCTCGCCTCCATTTTTTCTCTCTCTCTCTCCTTTTTTTTCTCTCTCGCCTCCTTTTTTTTCTCTCTCTCTCTCATTTTTCTCTCTCTCTCCATTTTTTCTCTCTCTCTCTCCTCCATTTTTTCTCTCTCTCTCGCCTCTTTTTTTTCTCTCTCTCTCTTTTCGCCTCCATTTTTTCTCTCTCTCTCTCGCCTCCATTTTTTCTCTCTCTCTCTCGCCTCCATTTTTTCTCTCTCTCTCTCGCCTCCTTTTTTTCTCTCTCTCTCGCCTCCATTTTTTCTCTCTCTCTCTCGCCTCCATTTTTTCTCTCTCTCTCTCGCCTCCATTTTTTCTCTCTCTCTCTCGCCTCCATTTTTCTCTCTCTCTCTCCATTTTCCATTTTTTCTCTCTCTCCATTTTCCATTTTTTTCTCTCTCTCTCTCGCCCTCTTTTTTTTCTCTCTCTCTCTCGCCTCATTTTTTTTTTCTCTCTCTCTCTCATTTTTCCATTTTTTCTCTCTCTCTCGCCTCCATTTTTTCTCTCTCTCTCTCGCCTCCATTTTTTCTCTCTCTCTCTCGCCTCCATTTTTTCTCTTTGGTTCTAAATAAAACCTTAAAGTCTTTACTGACTTACATGTTATAATAATAATAATAATAATAATAATAAAATCCTACTTCATGATAGTACAGAAAGAAAAAAATGTACAACTATCAGTCTAGGTTAATTCAAATGTTTAGAGAAAAAAATACTTTTTCAAAACACATACAAAGTACTCCCAAAATATCCAACAACAAACTTCTTTATGGACACCATGTGGCTTTATCCTGGAACTACTTTAACATGAATTTTCAAATTAACACTATTATTTTCGTGCTTCATATTATGAAACAGGAATATTTTATGACACTGGCATCAAATACAAATGCAACAGTATGTTTTTAAATCTCTGAAAAATAATGAATAAAATCAATTTAAAGTTCTAATTAATTAGTTATTATATTACTCTTATATATATTTAAGGCTGGACTCTATTTTCTGTATTTAAAAAGTATTGCTTTATTTGATATGTCAGTAGCTGCTTATTGCTGTTCTCATGTACCATTAGCATTCACTTGGGAGTTGCCAAATGGTATTTTGTAATCAAATATTGTCAGCCAAATCAAAGTTGCTATTTTCTCTGTGAATGCCAGAACATTATGCAAGCAGAACAATAAAACCAGTTTTTTAAGTATTTGGAATCCTCTAACTTTTACTGTGCATCTGACTGCCCTTGCATTTATTTTACAAAAATATTTAGATATATTACTGATTCATAATTCTTTTTCTAAACTGAAATTTTCACAGAACCTTTAGTTTTCACTAAAGGACATGTTTTTTTTTTGTTTTTTTTGCTATATAATGCATGTGTTTCATTTTGATGAACATTGATGTGTCAATGCCAGTCTTCCAAACCATCATTTTCATACCACATATTTGAAGTAAAATTTATATTCACTATAGATCAGAATATACAATTAATATCATTCATTTCCACTATTAGAAGGAATTTTAATATATTACAACAATATACAGAAAGTATTAAGTTAATTTTTATCAATTTCATTTATATTTTTAAAGCATTTAATTTTTTTAAGAATGTAATAACAGAACACATTTACCAAAATAAATTTAACTTAAATATTAAAAAAATTGCAATATGTACAATCATACTTAAGAATTTAAATTTTTATTGGAGTAGATGAAACTTCACCAAATCAAAAGGAATTATACAAGAATGTGATAAAGACTGTGCCACTTCCCAAAATCTAACCAGATAACCTAGTAATTTCAAGTAAATTAAACTTCTGAAAAAGTAGAGAAACCTGGGATTTTTGGTTAGTCTGAGCACTTTTTAGCTATGTATACATTAATTGGATAAAGTCAGTTAGCTAAATTAATTCATTAAATCTGGTATTTGGGTGCATTTAAAGCTGATTTGTGTGTGTGTATTTTCTTGTATGAAAATATTTTCTTCTAAACTTTTATAATTTATCAATTATTCTAAAACATTTCATTATATATGTACTTTAAGTTCTCTCGATTTTGTAGTTTTCTCAAGATGTTAAAATATTTCAGTAAGCAGTTCATGATTAATTGCTATAATTTTGTAAAACTTGTTTAGACAATATATATTTTTTCTTTTGATTCAAAGTTGTTTTTTTTTTTTTTTTTTTTTTCCAGGCTTGCATAGATGACAATCTTGATATGGTGGAATTCTTGGTTCAACATAATGCTGATGTTGATGTCTGTGATAATGAAGGCTGGACTCCCCTTCATGCAACAGCATCGTGTGGTTTCATAGGCATTGCTCAGTGAGTAACTGTATCCTCTCCTATTTTCTTTATTACATTGATATTTGTAAACTCTTGCTTGGCAAAATAATAACAAGGTTTAAACAACCATTATTCTAAATATTTCTTTAATAAAATCTAATTCTCTAAAAATAATAGCTATTTAATGATTTTTTTTTTTTTTTTCAGCTGGATTTAAAAAAAAAATAAATACTTAAATTTTTGACTAAATACAGTGTGGAGGTTATAATATATCAGCAGAGGTTAAGATCACAACTGGGAATTGGTGTTATGATAATACACAGGTTTTATATCCTACTGCTGTCTGTTTAAATTGATGCTTTTTTTCCTATATACTGTGATCCATTCATATTTTCTTGATTTCAGTTGGAAACATCAGTGAAATTTTCATTTTTCCAAGATATATATACATATTTATTTATTCTGATGGATACTCATATTTGAGTAGAATGACCTTTTTTTTTTTCATTTTTTTTCCCCTTTTCTTCCCCCACCCTCCCTTTTTCTTTCTAAGTGTTTATTTCATCTGCACATTCAAAGAAACTTAAAAGTTTTTTTAAAATAGCTGGGGAGAGAAATGGTAAATTCATACATTTCCCAATGATATTTGTGCATAGGTAAATATAACAAACCCGACTGGAATTTGAACTCTGCTCTCCAGGGTGTGTGTGTGTGCCTCAACATTTCCTTCTCCAACATCCGTGGCATTAGAACAAACATCTGCAGTATGGAATTTTTCCTCACTGCAAACTGCCCGGATATACTGGCTCTCTGTGAGACCAACCTTGTCTCGTCTATCCCCTCCTCTGATCTCTCTATCCCAGGCTACCTTCCTCTCCTCAGAAAAGACTCTATAACCCACATGCATAGCCTTGGTGTCTACGTCAAGGACCATCTCCCTCTGGCCAGAGAGTTCTCTCTCGAATCGCCAGACCAGTTGTACATGTGTCTCCGACTATCTCTTCTCAATGCGGTAAACTATCTCTTCTTCTTTTACCGCTCTCCATCCTCTCAAGACTGTGGGATACTCGATAGCATTTCTGACAGCATAGACAAGGGTCTCTCCTTCCACCCGTTTGTATTTGTGTTTGGCGACTTTAACGCCCATCATACCATGTGGCTTAAGAATGCTACTACTGACCACACAGGCATTCAAATGCTCAATTTTTCAGTCTCTCAATTTCTCACGCAGATAGTTAACTTCCCCACTCGTTTTGCCTTCAACCGGGAAGGTAAAGCCTCTCTTCTCAATCTGTGTTTTACCTCCATCCCCGAGTCCTGTAGTGCCACGCAACTCTGCCCTCTTGGTAACTCTGATCATGCGGTAGTATCTGTTAACATCTCCTTCAACTCCACCCCCTGCAAAGAACCTCCTACCACTAGAACTTCGTTCTACTATCAACGAGCTGACTTGGACGCATTCCGTGATTTCCTCCGTGATGTCCCCTGGGATGGTGTCTTTACACACCCCGTCCAAGAATGTGCTTCTGGGGTCTCATCCTGGGTTAAAGCTGGAATCGACGCTTTCATTCCCTCAAGGAAATATAGGGTCAAGTCGCGCTTCTCCCCTTGGTTCTCCACTGCTTGCTCGGCCGCCATCACCCATAGGAACCACTTCTTTCACCTATTCTGTAGCGACATGCCATCAGACAACACATACTAGCAAAATCAAATGGTTTTGAGGAGCATGGAACCACCTCTTAATTGCTGGTGTTCCCAGGTCCACCCTGACCCGGGGTGGTAGCACCTGATAGGGTCCCAGTTATAGGCAAATAGTTAACCCACGAAACTGGGGTCAAAACACTATGAAAGCGTAAAAATAGCTTTTAATACCAGAAATACTTTGTAAAAAAGCAATTACCAGCAATACATTTTTGAAAAAAAAAATATTACCAACAATGATTTTGAAAAAAAAAAAAATATATATTACCAACTATAAACACACACACACACCACATTTTTCCAAGACTGCATATTAGTTGACAAATCAGAGTGGGTGCATCTTAAGAGACAGTGCTTGAGACATCATCCTCAAAGGCTTATAAAGTTCCTCTACTCTGTGTGATTTAAAGTTAATTCTTGTACATTCATGTGCAAAAATTTCAGATTATCCTTAAACCTCTTCCTAGTGTTGTGTTGTGGACACTTGTTTACCATAGAAAAGTTGTTTGAGAATCCTGTTATTCCTCATTCTCACAATATGTCCTGTCCATCACATCTGGTTGAGGATTATTATTGTTTCAATGCTTTTGCATTCAAATCTTTGGAGGACAACAGTATCTGCAATCAAAAACTTCTATTTGATGTCAGGTATTTTTATACATGCGCACACACACGCACACATACATATATATATATATATATATATATATATATATATAATCGAAATATTTTTTACAAGTTTGTTCTCTCATGGCTATTATCAAAAGGGTGTTATCTTGTGTTTGTTCCTGATTCAAAGACTGATGATATCAGCTATGATCCTCAAATAGCTCTTTCATTTTAGAAAAAACAAAATGGAAACAATCTGAGGAAATACTGAGTATATTTTGTAAGCATACAGCAACTGCGATTGCCGACAAAACTAATAAAGCTATCATTTACTTTGACATTATTACAGGGAAAAGGAAGGCATACATGACCTCCATGGTTAAGTAGACAAACACAATCAATTTGACAGAAGCCATTGTGAGATAATACTACAATTGCAGAGATCATTGCATTTATTGGCCCATTATTTTCTATCCCCCCAACACAAATTACCAGCTATGAAAAGCTAGTTTCCTGATAATGTGGATTTTACAATGCTAACAGTTGATGCTCTATTGCTGCTTTGTGGTTAAAGGTGGAAGTATTTATAGTGTAACAGTTGTGTATAACACATCTTACTTGAAAGTGTATTTGAAATGGCTTGCACAAAACACATGAATTTATAAATTAAGTATTGTTAAGAATTTTTGTAAATATATACAAAATTTTGTGAAGGAATTGATTAATCCATAGTTTCAACAAAATATATGTATAAATTGATTTTGATTCTGTTTAATTAGATTTAAAAAAAAAAAAAAACTTTCTGCCACCTTATTTGCTAAGAGTATTAATGGAATCACGTAACCCAGTGCTACCTATTTTATGACCAGGTCACCTGCAAATAAACCGGTTCCCCACCACCACCACCAAATCAACATCCACATTTCCATAGCCATGGCAAGCCTTCAAGTTAGTGGACATTGGCTATGGTTTATCCTGGAGAAGCCAAACCTACTTGCCCAATACATGCTGTGCATGAATGAATACCCCTGCAGCTTTCAACCCAATTATGTGGAGGAAAGTGGTTGGGTGCACAGCTGTGCAGTGACCCTACAGCCACACCCAGTTATAAAACTGATAATGATGAAAGATATCAGAAGGACATGACAAATAGATTATAATTTTTTCAATTTTTATTTTTTTAAGTTGTCTGTAAAATACATAAAGTTTAATCAGTATTGATATCACTTTTATATGCTCACTCAAGTCCTGTAGACTCCCTGAGGAATATGGGGTCACAGCTCACAACACACTTTCCATTGCTGCTATAGTTTTCATAGCAAGTAGTAGGTTTTTATGGGATGGAATTGCTAGCTCCATGCTCAACTGGTTTTGAATTCAGAGTTGTCTTTCTCTTAGACTGGTTACCAATCACATCTAAAGAAATCAGTCTGCCCTACTCATAGCTGGGGAAGAAGAGATGTATTCATATCCTTTTCTTAAGGGTATTTGTGCATAAGTGAATGTGAGTTGCTATTCATTACACTACCCGCACATCACTTGTATGAAAAGTACTGGTCGGCATCTAGCATCCCCTCTCATTGATCACCCTTATTCTGCTTGTCTTACTCCACCTATTCACTATTGTTGTCTAACCCATGTTAATGAGGATCCTTGCTTCCTTTCCACCTACCACCATATTAGCTGCTAACAATGTATGTAAGCATACCTTTATTGGTTCAAAAATATAGCCATCAGTGCAGTAGTCATCCTCTGACTGTAATAGCTTATATGGCCCACCTGACCGCTAGTAGCCTGTTAACTCTGATTTTGATTCTTTATAATCCATAACTATATACAGCCTCTGACACCTTAAACACAACATTCTTTCCATCTTTCATTACATATGGCATATTGCCTCCTCTCCCTATCTTATAGTCTACTGCCACAAGATATTGGGCCTTACTGTCATTAGCATCCTAGCTCTTATGTTAGGCAAATGTCGCAGCCATACTGATCAGGAATACTATTTACAAACAATACTTTGACTATCCTCTCCAATCCCTTTCCTGTGAATTCAATTAACCTGTCATATAAACATTATTTTCCCCATGTCTAATTGGTCATCCTGCTCATTTCCATGTAAAATTCTGACACATTCTCTTCCAAATGGAATGGCATGAAACTGACATCATCATCATCAGGCATTTTCTCCAGCTTTGCTGCCAATCTCATCTTTTACCCACACACATACATCTTTGTCATTAAACAACTTTATAATTTCACTGCTTATTATACCTCTCCCACTCCCTAACACCCTTCCACCTCTCACTCCCTAACACCCTTCCACCTCTCACTCCCTAACACCCTCCCCCTTCCGCCTCTCTCACTTCCTAACACCCTTCTACCTTTTCCTCTGCCCTCGTGCCTCTTACTTTCATTTCTCACTCTACCTTTTCATCTCTCACCCTCAATATCTTAATATTTTGTGCTTCTAATTCACTCTTTTATAAATATTTGTTCATAATTTATGTTAAATAAGATTACATTTTTTTCTTTTGCTCATTACGATTTATTCATTTTTTTTTATTTATTTATTTATTTATTTTTTTTTTTTTTTTTGTCAAAATTACTGACCAGATTGTCAATTAAGTCATGTATGAAATTTACAAGTGTTATTAACATGGTTAATTTCTATTTTATATAGTAGATTTACTTCTTCAAAGTAAACTTGTTAATTATTTGAATTT